CGGGACGGGACGGGACGGGACGGGACGGGACGGGACGAGACGAGATGAGACGATGCGAGGCACTTCGCAAATCGACAGAAGCAAAAAGCGGCCGGGTCGAGTTATTTTCTTAAACACGTCTTAAATTCCAGCTAATAATTGAGCAGCTGAACGCCTGGGCGGGGATACTGGAATTATGCAAATCACGTCAGATCGGGATCGTGTCCCGAGGGCGCGATGTCCAAGAAGAAGGAGGGTGGAGAAGATGGCTCGGGAAGAGGGTACAACAACGAACGGAGCGGCGGAAGGAGACGAGGAGGACGAGATGAACCGAGCAGGGAAAAGAGGGAAGAAGAGAAGAAGCAAGAGCGACGTACGTACCAAGAGAGTAGAGAGAGAAAGAGCGCGTGCACATACACATGTGCGTACCTATATATACGCGCGGAAGGAGACTCGCCCCATTGTGATTGCTATACCCACGGGCGGAATGTTCCTCCGGTGTGCCGTCTCATGCCGACCTGCAACCAAACCCGAGCGAACTCATCCTACTGTTCGCTCTCGTCCCAGCAACGGAGCAACAGGTTGCACAACCTTCCACCTGCCCTCTTGTTTGCCGCCCGCCATACATGCCATACACATACACACGCTGCACGCGGCCGTATATACTCTTCGTCAACTAAAGGAGAGAAAAAGCGAGAGAAAGAGAGGAAAGGGTGAACTTAACCATGGGTAGCACGGTGTACGAAAAGTGTTCGACAAGAACCGCGAGAGAAAAAAAAAGGAACCGCGCGACTCGCTGCAATTTAAGAAAGAATTGTCAGCGTTTAGAAATGCAAAATAAAAAGAAGCATGTTTTTAATTAAAGGATAGTTTCTTCGATTTAATTTAAGAGCGTAAACAAATTTATAGTGCAAGACAGCAAAATTGTTATTTTATATTAGGTTGTCAAATATCTCCCTTCCGCTTTTTTGTCTTTTGAATTTCGCGGCTATGTACAAAGCGCTACAGAGGTCGTATCTGGCAATACTATACACCATTTCAAAGGTCTTGACATAACCTACAAAACGACGCTATGCATGATTAGTTTGGATATTGCGTTCAACAGTTATAGACGTGTAAACATGGAGTTCACTAACGCCGAAATTCGCGCTATTTCGTTGATGACTCGTCAGAAGCTACGGGAGCTCGGATGGGAGGTTTTATCGCATCCACCATATAGCCCGGACATAGCGCCAAGTGATTACCACCTGTTCTTGTCCATGGCGAACGCCCTTGGTGGTGTAAAGTTGAACTCAATACAGGATTGTGAAAAGTGGCTGTCCGAGTTCTTCGCAAGTAAGGAGGGGGGCTTCTACGAGGGGGGTATTATGAAGTTGCCGTCTAGATGGAAACAGATTATCGAACAAAACGGCGCATATTTGAACTAAATCCGATCACTGTAACACTTTTTAAAGAGCAATAAAGCGGAAGGGAGATATTTGACAACCTTATATATATATATATACATATATAAAATAAAATTATGATAAAACGCGAACATTTCTTATACATAAATAAAATGTAAATATGTCAAGTGTCAAAAACTGCAATTTTCTTTCAAGATGAGTACAACCTCACAGCACGTCTACGTCCAATGAATTAACCGCGAACTATTTCAGAAACGACTCATAATCGCAAATCTTTCTTTGTCATGTGTTAGTTGCATTTCCTGGGGCTTTGATAAGCTTTGTTGCAATGCGCGACTATCGCGGTAATGACGCACAGAAATAAGCGACCTCGTGATAAAAACCTCGCGATAGCGGAACTATTTTGCGCTTCTACGGCATTTCGATCGTGATCGCGTTTCATTATCGGCTATTATCATAAAATTGGTGAGTCGCAGACACGTATAGCGTTCATTCATATCGTGTATATCATTGATGGAACGATAGACAAATGTTATTATTCAGAAAATTTCCGAAAATGATAATTGCAATCAAATTATATAATTGCAACCAAATTTACCAAGAATGAAAGAAATAAACGCTCACATGATGAAATCTTTTGACTATACTGAAAAAAGAATTTGATAATAGCTGTCAAATGTTTAATGAAATAATGCTAATTAAATATTTGATTAATATGACTAAAAATTATTTTAAATATTTTCGTAAATATTTAGTAAGTACACTGTAAAAAATAAAATGTTAATTTTAATTTATAGTCGTACAGTGGACTTTCTGAGATATGCAAAAATGTTAAAAATAATACTTTTGTGTCAATTTTAACATTTTTGCATGTCTCAGAAAGTCCACTATACGACTATAAGTTAAAAGTTTATTTTTTACAGTGTATTATTAAATAATAACCGTTTGATAACACTTACTAAATATTTAGGAAAGTAAAATAATTTTTAGTTGTATCGACCAAACAATTAATTGGCATTATTTCACTAAACATTTAGTAGCTATTACCAAACTCTTTTTTCAGTGTAGTGTTCCACTCGAGATCGACGGTTCTCCTTCCGGAGATTCCATTATCTTGCCGCAAAACAAAAATTAATATCGAAATTGCCGAAATTAAAACTTTTATAGCGCGTCCTCTAAAAGGTTATCAAATCTGATCCTTCTGTCGAAAATATCTTTCAAAAAAAATTAGATAAAAATCGCGCACTTAAAAAAAGATCATTCTTCTGAGCGGTTAACCGGAAATTTTTTCGAAGAGATTTTTTTCAGAAAGCTCTCCGACCGAAAATCAGAGAAATGGCAAACGTAGATGTAGCGCGATGTGTCGCGAAGAGGAGGAACGTGCGAGAAATCATCGTGGCCGCTAAGAAAAGCATGCGGGGTAACACACGGTTATGACGTTCCGCCCGAGCGCAGCCGATTTTTTGCGAGGCACCGATGCACGACGAGGAACGTCACGGAGATGGTGACGGAAGTGCCATCCAGCTGGAGGGAGATAACGAGGGGGACTAGGAACGAGGGGGATAGACGATCATCGGCAACGAAACGAGATTTATTTTACAAGTAACGACCAAGAAGCCGGCTAAGAACTTGAAGCCGCCACCGAGCATCGCGAGTGCAGCCTCCCCAAGGAGGCCATGGAACCGTGCCTCTCGACCTTCGTTTTTCCCTTCTTTCTCACCTACGGCAGGAAGAGAGAAGAGATGGCGGACGAAGGGGACTCGCAACAAGATCGACGCACGACGCGGTACGCCGCGAAGGCGTGGTCGGTGGACAAGATCGCATCTTCGTGGAACGAAGACAGGCTTTAAAAAAAAAGAGTAGAGAGAGAGGGGGGGGAGTTAGAGAAGAGAGGTAGTATAAAAGAGAAAGACGAGAAACATCAGGCGCGAAAGAGCGGCCGTAGGACGATGGCATGAAAGCGATTCTGAAAATTGGGGCGAGAGGTATGCTACCTGTAGGCTCGCAATCGGGAGAAGCCCTAAAAAAGTATCAAAAGTCACGCTGAGCTGTTAAGAGAAGTGCAACAGCTCGTTTAGACCATACGCAGGTGTATACTTTACCGAGGTGATTTTGAATTCACTTATAAAATGTAAACGAGTTTGCAAGATGAAAAAGAACTCGTGCCACTTCTTTCATTTCATCAAACGCTCTATACACGTAACTCTATTTGTTTTTCGCAGCGGAAGTGGATTAAATAAAAATAGCCGAACGTCTCGCGACTTGTGCGCGCAGCGACAGTTATTTATTTCGGTATATTCTGAGCGACGCTTGGAAATATAGATCTGTTCTTTGCAGATGGAAAAAAATATCGTGATGTCATCCAATATCTTATCAACTATATACTCGATGCCAAAAAGTCACGCCAGTCGTTCACCTTCACGCGTCGTATCGGGGAACACAAGACGGGGGACGATCGAGGACGATCGAGAAATCCGAGAGAAAAAATGAAATGGACGGATAGCGGGAAACGTATCCAAAGGAATGGACGTGCGAGTACGGACGCACCATCGCAATGTAGACATTATAGGTATCGTCGGCGTGCATACGACCGCGGACGTTTCGTGGCTGCGCCGTAAACGTGGCGCGATATCAAGCGGCGGAGCAGAGGTCAGAGATAAAAGGCTGAGATAAGAGTACCTCGGACTCGCAGGTGAACCAAGTAAGCGAGTCCGATAACCGGCCCGCGCTATCTTATCTGCTCACTACTTCGATACAGCGTGTGGCCGAGGCCGCGATAGAGCATCGAGCTGGATTCTAACGACCGGGTGTTCGCGCCCGTAAAGCCGCTCGTAGAAAAGCTAACGATCGCCGTATTGTTTCGCAAAGACGACGGTCGCGGGATAGGATAAGGACCAAGACGACGAAGACGAGAGGAACGCGTTGGCGACGATGCAACCCGCGTCGCCTCGTTAAGCATCGAGGCACTCGGAGGCGTCCGCCTCCGATCGACTCGACGATTATGAATGCGCACATTGAGCCGGAGCTCCGATGCCGAACCTCGTGACGATCGATACGCGCCTCACCGATCGGCAGGCGCTTTGTTCGCAACGATTGTTTTCGTTTGATCGGAAGCAGACATTCGATCGGCGAGATACGTTGCAGAATACGTTGCACGTCCAAGAATCAGATACGGCGCGAACGTAAAAGCGTTCTCGGTATCTCAGAGGCACTCACGTGTTCGCAACGCGCACCGCGTACGAAGCTATATTTTTCTAACCGTTTATTATACGCGATAACAAGCTGTTAAGAAGTTTCTGCGTTGTTACGTAACTATTTTTTTTATGTTAAATATAGCACGGATAACTTTCAGCTCCCGGCCTTACAAGTCAGCGTATGGCTGTAATATGACCCGGCAATAAAGAAATATTAATTAAACTTTGGTTGAAAATGCTTGGATAAATCAGAGTTTTCTGATTAAACCTATTGTAATTCTAATTGAAATCAGTCAAAATTCTAATTCCAACAACTAATTGATGATATATGATCAGAATCTTCTGGTTTATCCATTTTCAATCAAAAATTTTCTCAGCGTGTACCCACATTTTTAGATATTAATGACCGCAAACGCGCAAAGTCCATTAATACGATACCTACTCGTTTGATTGTTTCAATCCGATGTAGATGATTGGACCCATATGCCTTCGTTTTGACAAAGGGACGATTCCGCGGCTCGTTACGATAAAGTGTCATTTTGCTAAAGCCTAATGGCACAATTCGTCTCTGTCAGACGCGAGAGTTACCTCGAACCCGCGGGATAAGGTGTTGCGTTTCTTTTCATCTGCGTATATACGCACCGTACACGCGTACGCGTATATACGTAATACGTAATCATACTGTGATATTTCTAATGGCGGACTACGAGACTCCGTCATTTGCGGTTACGATTGACGTTCCAGTTACATCGTGCAAGCGTTTCTATCTCGCTGGTATTAAACCCGTTTGTGATAAAGGGCAAAACAAAGTGTATATGTATTGTCTGGAGAACATAATGTATAATTATGGTATCTCATGTCTAACGAGATGTTAGCCGTAAGCGTAATTCAATCAATGTAACATATCCCGCTTCTCACCGTTTCTTTTTACATATCTATGTAAATAAAAATTATGTTTGTCAAAGTATAGAAAATACATAAATATTCCTTTGAATATTCCCTTACGCTCGACGTGGTGATAAATTGAATAAAAACGTTTACGATAATCATTGTCTATTTCTTGAAATATCCAAATAACTTATAAATAATTGAATTTAAGCAGAATATATAGTATGAATAAAACTTTTGAAACGTTTATAAAATATCTGAAGAAAATGACGGAAATCATAAAATCGAAAGAAATTGATAAGATTTTGATCAAAGTCGCTAGGTCAAAGTTCGATTATAAAGAGCTCAACTTCTTCACGAGACTGTACTCCGCGTTCGCAGTCTCTATTTCAGCGTGAGTTCCGCTATCAGCAGTCTGTACTTCCGGTGGCCGCCGTCTCTGCACTTCTACGTAGAAACTCAAGGAGACTACGCATACGCGCGCGCGCGTGAGATACGCGTAATACTGAAATATTTAGCGTGTTTGTTTCTTTCAGCGATCCGTGCATTCCATTACGGTAATTGATCAACGGATATGCATAATGAGAAACGCTTAAAAATACTTGACACACGCCACGTTTACGAATTCATAGAACGTGGCAGAAGAAATGTGACTCGACGAACGCGAATTAACACGTGGTTTCTATAGAGGAGTCAATGCTCGGCTAATCTTGAAACTAGAAACTACGAGACAACGATTGCGTTCCTCAGGAAAAAAAATGCGACGTTCCTCAAAGGACACAAATTTCTGTCGAGAGTAAAACCAACTCGAAAAAACTATAGACATCATGATGCGTGCGTGTAAATTATATTTTTCAATAATATCACATAGATATTTAAGTGGATTTAAGCATTTTAAATAATAGAACTCGGAAGTCTCCATAAAAATAGCCGATTTACGCCTGTTTCTGCCAATGTAGATTAATTTCGGTTCAACTTATTCTTTATTTTTTT